CAATGTGATTTAATAAAACAAACTAAACTCAATTAAATCTAGCTTATGGAAATTATGAACAAAATAATAAATAGCTAGAAATAGAGTTTAGGAAAACTTCTCTATGATAACAAGAGAGAGGGAGAAGAGTTGAATGCTCAAACACCAATAGATGATCTCCACTTGCTCTTGTGAAATTGTCTTAACAAACAAAACTCTTAAACACTCTTTTAAACAAACACAAAATACCCTTAAACTTATTTTAAACAATTCTCTTAACTAAATAAAACTGAGGATATGTGGGGGTATTTATAGGAACCCCAAAGCCAAGAGAAAACAAGGCAAAAAGACCAAAAACCAAAATCTGAAAAAGGAAAAAAAATTTTAGCCGTTACAGTTATAGCATCAGTCGACTGACGGTTTTTATCAGTCGACTGATGAGCTGACCGTTAGAGGCATTTTCCAGCTCATCAGTCGACTGACGTCCTTAAGGTCATCAGTCGACTGGTCAGTCGACCAAAACAAAACAGAAATTTTTTGTTATTCCAGGTATTTTCTTCAGTCAACTAAACATAGTCATCAGTCGACTGATAACACTGTATCAGCCTGATTTGAATAGTAAAACTGATTTTTGAACTACCTTTAAAAATAGCGAACAAACTCTAAAAATATAAAATTTTGGAAAATCATTGTAAACATGTTAATGAACATGTTACAAAAAGAATTTTTGGAATTGCACTTCACATTTGTGAAAACTTATCATTTTTCAAATATGTCCAAAAACATAAAAACTAAACATGCATATTTTTGACATTTGACATAAACACAATATTAAAACTTTGTGAAATATTTTTATAGACTTGATAAAATATATATAAAGTGATGTTGAAGTCTATAAACTAATAAGATAATATTTTTACAAAAACACCTATAAAACCAAAACTATATATATATATATATATAAACCAAAACGTGCATGTATGTGTATGATTGAGCTTGAAGTACTTAACACACATAATATAAAATCTAAACTATATATATACTCAAGCTTGTGATCTTTAACGAAGCTCTATCTTGGTAAACTTGTAGATGAAGCTTGAACTTGGATCTTCAACTTGAATTGCAATGCTTCACTCCACTATTTCCGCCAACCTCTATTTGATATGATCGTTATGATGCAATTTCATCCAACCTCCAACTTATTGTTTGCCTAGAATAGATACAAAACACAAACACTAGTCAAACAACATTAGATGTAAATTATTTGTAAATCATCATCAAATCAAAAGGACCCAACATTCTTCTTAGCGGCGAGTGTTGCAGCACTGTAACATGCTGCATGCTGCAGCCGCCATAGCTCTAAAGTTGGGTACAGAAGCTAGCATATCAGGTGAGACATGTAACATGCTGCAGCCGCCATAGCTCTAAAGTTGGGTACAGAAGCTAGCATATCAGGTGAGACATAGGATGATCGGTCAGCCTGCATTTAAGGCACAATAGAAGATAGAAGCAAACAAGTCTAGATACAAATTAGAACTAGAACTAACACGCGGTGAGTTAGAACTAACACGGGATGAGTTAAAACTAACATGCGTTGAGTTAGAACTAACACAAGAGCCCAAGAGCCATAAATTAGAACTAGAACTAACACGCGGTGAGTTGGAACTAACACAAGAGCCCAAGAGCCATGAATTAGAACTAGAACTATTTTGATCAAAAGTAGCGTTAGGGGATCCTCATAAGTAGTGTTAGGGTCATAAATCTCAAAGTCTTTAGCTGTAGCTCATAACCCATATCTGGAAAAAAACAAAATTACCAATTATTTTGATCAAAATTATTTGAAAGAAAGAAACAAAAAAAGAAAGAGTAGGACTTACAAGTTCAAAATGTGAGGGATGGTGGTATGAGAGAGGCCTTGTGGTTTATGAGATCTTGAGTCATCGAGATTCTTGTTGCTCTGCTCGGATTTCAATTGATCTTCCATTAAAAATTCTGATTCAATATTATTTGAGAGGAAAACATAAACAAAAGAGGGATAAATTTTTATAGAACCTTTCAGGGGGGTGAGAGCAGGAAAACTTAAGCAGCGAAGTTGTGCGGTGTGTCAGCGGCGAACTCGAGGGCGAGGAGGAGAGCGGCAACGACGAACTCCGGCATAGTCGAGGGCAAGGCGGGGAGGACGAGCTTGAGAAAACCCTTGGTTTTAGAGAGAGAGAGAGAGAGAGAGAGAGAGAGAGAGAGAGATGAGAGAGCATTGGGTTTGAGGGATTGAGGATAAAATTATTTTGGGGATTTTAGCTTAGTTGACATGTAATAATTACTAAAAAGAGGTTGCAGCACAAAATGTCATATTTTAAGAAGCTGAATCACATAGGAGAAAGTTGAAAAGGTTGCAGCATATGAAGTTTCTGTTTTTGGGGACTGAACACATTTTTCCCATTTTGCAAACTTAATATTTTCTAGAAGTGTACTTTGGCTTGCAGAATCACAAACGTTAACTTCGCACTGGCAGGATATATTAAAAAAATGTCAAATCTGATGATCATGACCTGAGGCCTAATAATATAATAATAATAATAATAAATCCACGCTTTCCTCATAAATTATTCTTCGAAAATCTAATCTTATCTCCATTTTGATTCTCTTTTTCAGGCGAACACTATTTCGTGGTTGTAGTCGTAGAATCAAAGAACCCAAAAATGGACCCAATCCGGGTCGTGGTCGAGCCCTACTTCAAAGCAGAGATCGAGATGGGTCGAGCGAACGCCGAGTACAACACCCTCGTCCGCAAACTCCCCGAAATCTTTGTGCAAATTACAGCAAAGGTTCTCGCGGTCGCTCGCCGTTCGACGCCACTTGCCTCCCCTTGTTCACCGTCACTCGTCGTCACCTCTCTCCAATCGCCGCCCGCTCGCTGTCGATCGCCGCCGCTCGCTGGAAATCTAGGGCTTCTTTTCTTTTCTTTATTTCCCCTCTATAGTGCGTTTATGAATTATGCTGCTGCCAGCGGTTGACTTGGTTATTGGGTTCATGGGTAAGTGTTTGTGTTATATGGATCAGTTCGGGTCAACCTGAATTGACTCATTTAATAAATTGGTCAGTTCGGATTGATCCGTTTATGACCCCACCCGTGTAACTCGACTCATACCCATTATAAATGGATCAGGTCATAAATTGTCACCTGTACCTCAAATGTCTTAAATCTATAGCAGACCTCGTGCTGAGAACCTGACTGATTAGTTTTCCTTTTTCACTTGAAATATTGGGTGACGAAAACACCCTAGACTTGTTGTAGCTCACATTTAAGCCTAATGCCTCGCAAAAAGAATCCAGGTAGCCCTTAATAGTTCTAGCTAGACTCTCAGTGCCTTCCGCAAAGATAATAGCAAGTGGTCGGTGAAGAATAGGTGAGAAATAGGCACATGTTGATATTCTAACAATATCGGTTCCCATTGATCTCTTTGCACATTTCTAGTTATAAAGACTACCAAACCGCTCCATGCAAAGAACAAACAAATAGGGAGAAATCGGGTCACCTTGTCGGATACCTCTCTTTGGCGTGTACGCAGCAGACACCTCTCTGTTCTATACAATTACGGATTTCGCTGAGGACAGACATTTCATAACAAGTCGTACCCATCCGGGAAGCCAAACAATGTCAGTCTCCTCCAGAAAATCCCATCGAATTCTATCATAAGCCTTCTCCAAATCGATTTTGAGAGCCATTCCGTTCTCTTTCCTTTCATTTTCCTCACAAGAGTGAATCACTTTTTTCACCATAAGAATATTATCACTAGGAATAAAGCTACAGTGATTAGGGGACACCAATTCATAAAGAAACGGTCAAAGACGATCACCAAAACGTTAGCAATAGCCTTGTAAGCCACTGAGCACAAGCTAAGCGGTCGTAACTCTTTAAATGATGTTGGCACCTCAATCTTTGGGATTAATACAACAAATGTTTCATTCGGTGCCGCGGGAAACTGACCTGCACCAACAGCCTCGGAAACAAGGCATGTCAGCGCATTCTTCACTACCTTGCAATTGACCTGATAAAACATCGGCTGGAAACCATCAACCGCAGGTGCCTTGTCAGGTTTCTTCCAGAAAACGGCTTCTTTTTTACCTCATCTTCCGTAACTGGATTCAAGAAATCAATGGCTTCCTTCGCCTCTAAACCACTCACCGTACCCAAGTTTCGGCCAAGATATTGTCAAGAATCGCAGTGATAAAGAGAGCAAAAATAATCTCGTGCCATCTTTGAGCTTCTCCACATCATAAATCCAGTCTCCATTCGCATTCTGAAGCGCTAAAATCTTGTTACGCCTTCTTCGACATAGTATAATAAATTTTCAACTAGAGATCGTTGTAAACAAAATCAACAAAATAAGAAGGCTGAAAAATCAAACTTTCGTAAGCAACAACTAACAGACGCTCAACTCTCCACCTAACTGAAACGTCTTATGCTCATCAAGAGAATGAGTGGCTAACAGCTTCCAAGCTATCAATATGATTAGTTCAAGTTACATAAGTTGTTAATAGGTAATAATTAAATAAATAAATAAAAGGGAGACAAAAGGTCCAGAGGATCTATTTGGTGTAATTAAAATGTTTTGGAGGACTTCTCTAATAATGTGTTCTGAGACCTATTTCAGATATCAAATAAGTAATAACTAAGAATTAGAGAGAGAGAGAGAGAGAGAGAGAGGAAAAGATCTTATAACAAACCAGAGGATCAATTTGGTGTGATTGACATGTTTTGGAAGACTACTCTAATAATGTGTTTTGAGACCTATTTCAAAATTATCTATGTTTTTTCACCCATGAAACCTTTTATTTTTTCCCCCTCCAATAATCAGCTCAAGTCATTGACAACCACAAGCTATCACCATTCGTGAGTCTTTGAACCAAAAACTTCAGCAACTTCGACAACTTATACAAGCAATCTAACCCGGTTTACGAATCCAAATTCTGGTCTAATATGCAGTCAGTGAACAAGTCATAAAATCCACGTCAGTCAACATATAAAAATATTTTTTTTTTGTCACCCTCAAGGAACAATTCCAGTTTGTTCTCAAAAACAAGTAATCTAAACGCTTGTAATGTTAGCATAGCAGCGAGCGTATATTGTCTACTGATAAGTTTTCACAAAATCCACTAAGTTTGCGATAGAGTACCTGACAATCCACACAGATACATTTAAAGATCTTGTTGGGCTACAATTCATCTTAGCCATCTATGACAGTGAAAATACCTTAGGTAGCTTAAAACATGAAACTATGTGTGGACAACTGGCGAAGAATTGTGAATATTTTCACCTTCCCCATTCAAAATCTGGGGTCAGCCGCATTGTTGGCTCCTTCAACTGAGCAGAATTGCTGGTGTTAACGAATTGTGGAGTAACAACTCGATCCCAGCCCATGATGTGTGGCAAGGCAAACTGCAAAAAGAAAATGCTCAGTAGCAGAACAACGAAGATTGATGCAAGCAACATAAGGATTTGACACCATGCTTTTGTTGGATAATTGGTCAGAAAGTTTCTCTTTAAAGTTTTACTTTGATCATCATATGCTCAGCTCAGTTTAGTAGATATGCTCAGTTTAGTAGACTACTCAACATTTGTTATGCATGAGTAACAGCAATACTGAATGGTTTGCCCAAGAAGTGACAGTAGCCCATCAACAGGATCTAAGCATACAAACTACTAAACAAATTCTTCAATATTGCCAAAATAATCTACTGCATAACATGGACTCTGTATCTACTAAGTGAAGAAATCTTCCATGTAAGCGAAAATTTGTTCATTGTAATAAAAAAAACATGAAAGGAATATCGCATAAGCACTGATGATGCGTGAGGGCACCTAAAGTGCGTTCTTTTTGGTGCCCTGGTGCCTTTCTAATTAATTCTTCACAAAAACAAATATAGAATGGTTTAACTTAACAACTGCAATAAAAATGAAGATTCATTTTTGCAACAAAATGGTAACATGAATATCCAGTTGGTGGTGAAGGAAAACCAATCAGTTTCTAGAAACTTACACCAAAAGCTGTGCGCATCACTGCAAACTCGGCCTTCGTTACGGGTACAGAAAAGCGTTCAGTTGTTTTCTGGGCAGAATTCAAGACGGCTGCAGAGATAACAATTGGATTTGTTAGTTGTAGTTGCAGAATAAAACGAAAGTCACATAAATATACCAAATTCTGCGCAGAAAGAAGAAAAATACAGTAGAAAACTAAAGATAATTGCTTATACCTATCTTACAAAAACAAAATTCTGAAGCAACTGAAACATACAAAGATGCCAAAACTTCCAATTAAAAGATTCAATCAACGAAAGGTGGCACAAATGCTGCATTTCTATAAAAGAGATTCTGATCTGAAATTATTTAAATACACAATTTCATCCAAGGTTTCAGTAAGGCACAGATGGATAAGAAAAGAAGGCTGCATGATGTTCTTCTGTTCAGCACACGCATTATGATGTCAGGGTAGCTTTTTATTGATTACAAAAGAAAATTAAAGTCAGCACAAGAACAATTCTCTTCCCAATAAAGCATCCCTCTTAAAAGCCACCAAAGGGGGAAAAAAGGAAAAAAAGCAACGAAGACTTATACCACTGCCCCAGCAGAATAAATTTTGTAGAATGCGCTATGCTTCTAGAAATCATCAGGATAACATTTCATTGCATCTTGGTATTAACATATATTCTTAAACCAAATGAAACCTGCTTGGGTACGATTCACCACTCTATATAATTAAGACTTTACAAATCCTGACCGTAAGTAAACCTGGAATAAAATATACCACCTTCTATTTTGACTATGTAGTTAAATAATTCAACACTGGGTGACAAAGTTTTCACACTCAGAATGTGAAGAAACCGCGAAGAAATTTGGCGAAAAACGGGTTTTGGGATGCAGGAGTCAGTTTGGGAGCTGCGCGATCGACCGCGGTGCAAGGCCGGTCGATCGCGAACGTGCACAGTGATGGGGACATCCAGAAGCACACACGGGACTTTCGCCGTGTCTATCAACGTAGGAGACGTCGCGCGCCAGCTTTGCACCAGATTCCTATTATCTGGTTCTGATAGGATTGATGACAGATTCAGTAGCTGAGATTGATTAATCAGGGTCCCTATTCTGTTCTGGTTCTGATAGGATTGATGACAGATTCAGTAGCTGAGATTGATTAATCAGGGTCCCTATTCTGTTGAATTTTTGAATTTTGAATTTGACTTTTGAATTTCAAATTTTGGTTTAGATTTGATAGTTTTCTTTTAGTTTTAATTGCTGAATAATTGAGAGAGATTCTGGGAGATTTCCAAAATTGTAATCTTTCTTTTAAAAAGAGATGGATGTAATCAGAATTGATATTGAATAATAAAATAATAAAAATGAAAATTATCTTGCTTGATTGTGGTGTGAAACCCTAGCAGTAATTTCGTTTTCTTCTCTGCAGCCATAAAAAAAAAACAAATCCATGTTCATCTCCTTCCTCCAGCACCTCCACCAAAGCTCACTCTTGTCATCTTCAGCCTCCGTTCCATCTCCATTCGCAGCCACAAACCTCCTT